CTTATTTGGACAAACTTTTGACAGCACCTGAGACGGAAGAGAATAAAAGTGAAAAAGACTGGTTTAATTGACAATGGTGCCCTAAAGACATTTTGAAGTTTTCTTTCATAACCTAAAAATACCTGCCTTTAAATGTCAGATTTAATACTCTTAGGAAAAATGTCTTATCTACTGCTTTATTCTAATCTGGATTTGGGTCATCAGCCAATTAAAACTGTAAAATGCTGATAAACAGGTAGTGGGTGGTCCCACATGTCGGCAGTGGTAATCCAGTGTATGGCAACAACTACTGTATAGAGTGAACTTCTTGTGAACCTCTTATTTTTGTATACCAGTAAATGTGCCATCAATAATGTAAATTCAGTTGTAAATAGTTTTTTCTACAGCACCCCATTACCATACCTGACATATACTAATTTGTGAATTCTTTTTCTTTCTCTGTCATTCTCTCTCTCATCCCCATCTCTCTCTTCCCATCTGTCTCTCCCCCCATCTTTCTCTCTCTCCCGTCTCTCTTTCTCCACACTCTGTCTCTCCATGTCTTTCTCTCTTTGCCCATGTATCTGTCTGCCTGTATTTCTCTCTGCCCCATCTCGCTCCGTCTCTTTCTCCCCATCTCCCTGTCTTCCTCCCTCTACCCGTCTCTTCCTATCCACTTCTGTCTCTCTCTTTTCCCCTATCTCTCTCTCCCTCTGTCTATGTCTCTCCTCCTTCTTTCTCTCTCTCTCTCTCTCTCTCTCTCTCTCTCTTTCTGCCCTGTCTGCCTTCTCTCTTTGTTTGATAAATCCAGCCTGTGTTCAGGAGTGATACTGGCCAGTCGTCACACTCGTGCCCAGCGTGCCACTGTGGCCTGCTCCAGTGACGGCGGCATACTGATTCTGTAATAACCGCCTGAGGGTAGAGGACTGTCCATCCTTATCAGCTGCTGCCTGCAGCGGAAATGAAGAAGAGAAATAAATAATCCAGTGCGAAGTGGCCATCAGCCGGGCCAGCGGGGGCCGGGGGCCGAAAGGCCGGGGGCCTGGTGGGGGGGGGGGCTTGGTTTCAATTTGCCCTTGGCCTTGGGGGTGCCTCGTAATAACCATGACAGCTGGTATGCAGGATCAGGGCAGCAGGGGGTCTGGGGTGAGATTTTGAGGGGCAATTTCCTGAAATCCAAAAAGAGATAGATCTCTAAAAGCTGTTAAACACCGGCGTCATTTTCAGAGATGGGCATCATCACAACGACCTTCTGGGATATTTTTAAAATTCTGCAGCACAGCAGTCAATTTACAGGTTGTCATTTCCTGCCCAAACACCATAAACCGTTAAAATAATTTTGGGTGCCAGCTTTTTCAGGAAGGCTTGGGCAGGATCGTGTTGCACTGTCAATCACTGTGTGGTTTAAACCAGTGAGAAGTGAGCTAGACCAGCGACTGACAGCCCAGGGCAATTTTCTCCAGTCCAAGTATCAGGCTTCGCTTCCTCCATCTCTGACCCCAGTGTCATGAATAAGTAAGACTGACCTAGCAGGAGGTGAGCTGTGGAGTTTTCACCTCTGCGTGCAGTAGGAAGGAGGAGAGAGGAGGTCCTGAGTGATCATCCTGAATGGATAATCAGAACAGGCAGTAGCTGGATGGAACGGCACCCAGCCAGGAAAGTAGGTTGAAAGAACTTTCACAGACATTTCCTTCAGAATCAGATTTGATTTGCAGTGCAATGATTTTTGCAGTAAAGCAGATAGCAGATAATCTATATTTTCTCTACGTAATTTGACATCCTCTGCTGTGGAGGATCATGGGTAATTAAATCATACACAAGTTGTTCTTTTTATTTGATTGACACACACATCCGTGATTCGCTTTCATCTGCTCAGTGGGGTGGGTGAGGAACTCCGCTCAGGCATAGATCCCAGCTTCCAACCAAACTCCCCCCCCCCCCCAGGTTTCTGTGTTTCTCGCCGTCACGGTGGCGTTCAGCTGATGCCACCTGACTGGCCACCCACTTAACCAGTCTCCGCCACCTGACTGGCCAGCCACTTAACCAGTCTCCGCCACCTGACTATCTGTTTACATATTTCCCTTACCACATGGGTGAGTCAGCAATGGAAGCCATAAACAAGAAGTGGATATGTAAGCAGGAAACTGAGTGCAGGGCTTTTCAGTCACACAGACACACAAACATTCAGATATACACCGAAACGCAGACACAGATACACAGTCACATAGAAACACAGACATACAAGCAGATACACAAACAGAAACACATAGAAACACTCACACAGAGATACAGACACAGAAATGCACACAGACAGATACACAGATGCATACTCACACACACACACACACACACAACACAGTCAGATACACACTCACACACATGGTTACATCTTTGCTATGTGCCATGTTGCTGTTGGTCTGTGACTTTCAGCTCTTCCTGCATGATCTTATCACAAGCTGGAAGAAGGTTGACTATGCTGCCATTGTCACCCTGGTTTGTCCAGTGGAAATCACAGCAGGCATCTTTCATCTTGCATCTTCCTAAGTAGATCGTAGATCCGCTTGGCCTACTTTGAGGATGCGCGTTAGCTAATCCGATTTTCTTCTTAATTTTAGGACGCGCACACACTGAAACGCTGCCAAATGGCAATAACACAAAAAACAAACAAAACGAAAGAATCTGAAAGACCCTGAACAAAAGGGAGTGAATGGATCTAATAGCCCCGGTCTGTGGATCACGCAGGATCCTACAGTATATCATGTGAGCTCCGCCCACACACCAGATCACTGATAATATAATGGTAAATCTCTCCCTGCTGCCTGTGTTTTTTCTCTGTGGGGCTTCTAGAGAATTCTATTCCCTTACTCTGCCACTCTTTTCATGTAGCACTTGTGTGGGGTCAAAGGTCAGTCAGCGTACATCACAGGTGAGGTGGATCCAAGGTTCCAAGCTCCAAGGTTATTCTTCACCTCCAGTATTGAGTCCTGTAGCGGTTTCCTCGGGGTCTCTGTGTGCAGAAACACACATGCTGGTTGAGCTTCACTCCAAATGGCTGTGCTCCGCAGATCGGTGAGCTGCCCTGTGATCTATGTCAAAATATGACTTGATTAGTTGCTCAGTGACTCTCATACTACTTGAAAAGACAGCAGGCATCACATAAAGG